CTGCTTTTGCTGAGGCATTGTGTAGTTTTGGTAATGGTGTCTTGAAGCTGCGTGTGAGAACGTTAGATTATGCCTGAGGTGGTGTTTTTGATGGAGGAGTGGGGAATCTGTTAGAGGATGTTTCTGTTGATGACAAGCTGTAGCTGTGCAAGGCAGTGACACTAGTATTTTGCAGGTTTTGAGCAGTATTCGAGACTGCTTTGTCACCGGAAAGTGGGAAGGGGATAAAGATGCAGCAAAGCTGTTGGAGGAAGATGGTATGTGTAAGACTTGTAAAAATGATTCATGTGCACCACATTTTTAAGGAAAGTATGACTTTGTAGATACATACGTAGAATATTTTGCCTTAGTGATACACTTGCAAAGTTTTTCAAACTATTACATATATTATTATCCAGATACTAATATAATTACATGTTGCTATAAATCTCTGTAGAAACAGTAGGCAAGTACCACATTGTGATAATTTACTTTCTGATAAATAGAATATATAAGTTAAATTATGAAATTGAGTCCTTAGTTAATACTTGGCTGTGCCAACTTTGAATTACATATCCGAGTTTCACTGTACATCCTCTATGTATGATTTATTCTTTTGGGTAGTCATGGTAGAAATAAACAAATTCTTCTTTAATGGGAAGACAAACTTGTCATTCATGTTTGGCCGAAAAGTGAGATCTGTCTTCAGATGTTTTGTAAGTGTTTTTGTTTGTTTTGCTTTTTTAATTAGGAAATATTTAGAAAATTTTAATCATGTGGCTGTATCTTACATACAACATGACTGTGGTATGACAGGCTTCTATAACCATTTGGTTTTAACCTAAGAATTGTCAGCTGCATTTAATTTTTGATTTTTTCTTTTTGTGTTAAATTTAGCATAGGAGCTCAATTGCTCTGCTGGTGTCTTGTGCCGTTAGAGTGATAACTAATGTGCTGTGTGGTCCTTTGGAGTGACCTAGACTTTATTTGCATATTTTAAATCATAAAAGTGTTGAAAGGAAAAAGGAAGAGCCACTGGAGTTCATCTGAGAATTTCCAGCTGAAGTTGTAGAGAGGGCAAAACAGACTTGGAAAACTGGTGATGGAAACAAAAAATATTTGGACTGAAACTAATCTACACAGCAGTACCAAGAAATGCACAGTACTGAAAATAAGAGAAATGGTATGGAAAAACACAACAGAATGGTTAACTGTCAGGTGTCTTGGGTGCTTGTTGTTGCAGAAGAACTGTATGGAGATTTTGAAGACCTTGAAACGGGTGTTGTGCACAAAGGAAAGGGCTCTGCTGAAGGAGATGAGGTCTGACCTGCATTTTTATGTTCTTCAGTAATACACATGTATATGAATTTCTATTCAAGTGATAGGTGTACTATGTAATGAATTCAGTTTTCATAGAATCAATAGGAAAGAAATCATCAGGAATAAGGAAGAACAGGTTTATGTATTACTGACTTTGGAAGCTATAAATATCTAGAATGGCATGTTTTTAGTCTCAAACTGAATTTTGTTTAATTATGTAGGAGAAGTCACCTCACTTACTTAACAGTAGGTGTCAGGCTTAATCAGGAGCTGGACGATCTGGAGGCATGAGAGAAGTATTTTAAAGCCAAATGTAGTCATAGCTACTATGTCATCTCATCTGATGTGGAAGATTGTAGTGTTCTGTTTAAATGCAAAAATTGTGGAAACTTGATAGAATCTCCTAGTCATTCCTCTCATCTGCATAAAGGAGGCTAGTGGAAGTGATTTTATGCTATGGCTTGAATATCTTCCAAGAACAGAGCTGTAGTTGCCTGTGACAATACAAATTGAAAAATGAATTTTTTTTCCAGACTGAGCACTTTGATGGCTTTGTATTTTGCTATAAAATTGAGAGTAGTGGCATAATTTTGACAGTTTTCAAATGGTCTGTGAACAAAATTCCTCCTCTCTGGCCTCTAGAGTGCTGCCTTTGAGCACAGTATTACTTACTTACCTTTTTTCTCTTGATTATATATGCTTGTATTAGGTATAGAATAACAGATAGGTCAGTCCAAGGATCTGTTCCCTGATGTTAAAATAAATCTTAAGTCAAAAATGTTTTCTCAGTGAAGAAGGCTATGATTAGATCATGAAAACTTTTGGACATTGATGATACTATGTCTTCTCGTATGAATAGTTTACTAATTTCTGTCTAAAATTGAAATATTTTGCAAGTGTCTATTAATTTGTGTTATGACAAAGTATTGCTTAATATTAGATATTAAACTGTTGATCAGAATGGGTTTTCAGTGAACCATTTTACGTGTTTGACAACTTACTGTTGATTAGTCTGGAAGTGAAGAAGAGGAGGAAGATGAAAAAATATCCAAACCAGAACCTGAGGAGGAGGAGGACAAGAAAAAGGAGCACATGGAGAAGAAAAGGAAACTGAAAGAAATGTTTGATGCTGAGTATGATGAAGGGGACACCACATACTTTGATGATCTTAAAGAAGAATTGCATAAACAAGCACAGGTACAAGCTGTTAACTTGACAATTTATCTGGCTATATATCTTCAAAAATACCCCACAGAGTTTGCCCCCAGAGGTTTTTTCCTGGAGGCACACCTGATGCTGAGGAGTTACTTCAGAAAGTACACAAAGAAATTAATGCTTGTGATTTTTAATGCTTGAACTTCTTGATTCCATTAGCTGGAAAGAAAAAAACCAACAAACAAGCCAAACAACTGAAATCTGAATTTAAACTGAGTGCAGTAGTTAACCACATTCTAAATCACTGAATAAGCCAGGATGTGTCATCTAATTTTGTCTACCTAAAATGTTTTTAACCAAAAAAGAAAAGGCAGCCTTTTATGTATAGGAAGGTGAAAATCGTTCTCATACTAATTTGTGTCATATATTTTCTTGACAATTTTTTCAGTGCTACTAACAGATACGTAAGTTCTGTGTGACAGTCTTATTCCTCAAAGCTTCAAGTTATTTTGAGGAAAAAATAATTGATGACCTCTGTACATGTGGTAGAAGTCTTCAGCGTAACTGTATCCAGAATTTGAGGTGTTGGTCTTTGTTCCAGGCCTTTTTATTTAGTAGCTAAGAACTTGTGAGCTTAAAAGTAGCTTCTTTCTTTGACTGACTTGGAAGAACATTGTCTTACATTGCTAATAACTTAATTGTCTTCTCTTTGAACAAATTTCTGCCCTGAATATTCATTAAATTACTCATTACCTTCTTGCATAGCCTCTGTCATAAGTGCTCATATGAACTCTGGTATGCTGATGTACCAGAGCACTTAATGTGTAAAGAAGGACATTCCATTAAAAACAAGACCATTTGCAGCTGTTCACTTCAGTCTGTTACAAAAATACTTGTCAGCAGTACTACTGCAGGATGCAAGGACAAGGATTTCAGACTGGGGATATGCACAGGTTTCTAGAAAAATAAACTTGGATCAGATTTATGCTGTATCTCAATACTTTGAGAAGTGAAATCAGTAATTATTGTGTGTAAATATGGTGTTTTATAGGTAGCTGACTATCAGGAGCTAGAACAGAAGGGTGAGGCTTTTGTTATTCATGGGGGTATCTGAAATATTTGTACATTAATTACATTCATATGTTACAGAATAGCTTTTGACACTATATGGTGTGAGGATGCACAAAAATATTATTAAGCTGCTGAGTAAGATAGGAGCCCATCCTCCTCATAAAGTGACACCTTAAAGATCAGGGTGTTAACTTTGAAAGGTACTTGGGCTCCTAAATCAAAAATGTACTTTTGCCAAAGCCAAAGTCATGGTTATGAAAGGTGTAACAGAAGTCACTCTCAGTCATTTGCCTCTCTTGGGTACTGTCTTTCAAGTAGACTAACAGGCCCACTTGGGATTTCAAATTGGAAGGACGTCTTGGTGGCAGAGATCTTGTTCTGACTAAAAAGTTACAAAACCTGTCAGATCTTTCCCAAAAAGGCTTATATAAATGTTAGCATGTTTGAAATAGAAACAGCACTTCATGAACAAGTTGTTAACACTTGAATTTTGTGAAACACATGGTGACTTTCTTTTTGTTACATAGCTTAATCGAGCAGAATTTGAAGATCAAGATGATGAGACCAGAGTGCAGTACGAGGGTTTCCGGCCCGGGATGTATGTTCGAATAGAGATTGAGAATGTGCCATGTGAATTTGTCCTGAATTTTGACCCTCATTATCCTATTATCCTGGGTGGTTTAGGAAACAGTGAAGGAAATGTTGGATATGTACAGGTATGTAGCCAAAGCTGTGAGTGCATTTTATATCAGTACAGGTGTGCTTCAGAGTATCTGGAGTTACTATTTTCTGTTTAAAAACATAGTAAACATGGAGGGAAACTTTCATCTTTATCTCTTGAATAGGGGATTTGCTTTTGACACAAACTGTAACTCTCTAGTAGCAGATACTGGATTTTAACAGGCTTAATTGAATGACCAGAAAAGGGATTGTTGTTTAGGGTTATCTGCAGAGGTGTTTCAGGACTAAGGTCTGATATTTTGATTGGTAAATTGAAAACATGAATTACACTCTGAGTTTCATGGTCTATGGACAGGTGACTATAGAAATGTTACCAGCACATTTATAGTTATTTTTTCTTGTATGATAGTTGCTTGTATGCATAGAAACATGACTTCAGTGAGTGAAATGTTGATTAGTCTCTCCAGTCAGCCTAGTCTTAAAGAGACTGTTCGAAGATAGAAAGTTTACTGAATAAAAAATTCTAGTATATATAGATGCTGCTCTCAATCATTCCTGAAAATTAAGGCTTGGATTTCAGAATTGCTATCCTGTATTCTTGTATGATAGTTGCTTGTATGCATAGAAACATGACTTCAGTGAGTGAAATGTTGATTAGTCTCTCCAGTCAGCCTAGTCTTAAAGAGACTGTTCGAAGATAGAAAGTTTACTGAATAAAAAATTCTAGTATATATAGATGCTGCTCTCAATCATTCCTGAAAATTAAGGCTTGGATTTCAGAATTGCTATCCTGTAATAGCATTGTGAAAATTAAGGCTTGGATTTCAGAATTTGCGTTGCTATCCTGTGATAGCATTGTTATCTTTTCTCGTAATTAGTTGCGCCTGAAGAAGCACCGATGGTACAATAAGATCCTTAAGACACGTGACCCCTTAATCCTCTCGTTAGGGTGGAGGCGCTTTCAGACCATCCCCATGTACTACATTGAAGATCACAATGGGCGTCACAGGCTTCTGAAGTACACACCACAACACATGCATTGTGGAGCAACTTTTTGGGGTGAGGGCTTTCTGGAGTTACTATCCTGTATCACTTAATCAGTATAAAAATCTCAAACTTTACAGGATCTATCAGGACATAGCCAGTACCTTTTGGAATGAGAAGTCTTTAAGTTTCCTCACAGAACGTAAAATAACATCAAATAGTACAGGAAAATAGACAATTGCCTATTAGTTGTAAATTATTTGAATAATTTGTGAATTATTTGGCTTTTAATCAAATTCTGAGCATTCTGCTAGTTTGTATGATATCAAAGAGAAACCTGTTTTGTTGGCTTTGTGCAGAGAGACACTTGCACACATTATGGGCCCAGTCCTGAAAATGCTTCCACACATGGGTAACTTGTTAACCATTCCTTTAACTTTCATGGGACTTTAAAGGTAATAGTTTGAATGCTTTAAATTTTTCTTTGATTTTATTAATTGAGAAGATCTGATACTTATTTCTAAGCTGTCTGACTTTAAATAGAGGCTTGATGTTGTGTAGTAAAACTTTTCAGAAGTTATTTGAATTTTCTTCTAGGGCCTATCACTCCTCAGGGTACAGGATTTTTGGCAGTTCAGTCTGTCAGTGGCACAACGGTAGGTTCATTATCACAAAATGTTCATTGCTACTTTCCATGGGTCTTTGGGTAAAATATATAGATTTGGGGAGGAAGGTTTACATATGGTAAAGCAGTGTGGTTGTAGGAACTGAGAAAGTATGTGGACTCAAACTTTTGAAAGGTGTATTGTGGTAAGATGGGAAACTGTATGGAGATTTATTTTTTTAATATTATTTTCGTCTGCTACACTGAAAATGACAAATAGTTCTTGATTGTTTTCTGTGGAAGGATTTATACCTACTTGATTTTCAGCTACTGTTGAAAAAGTTTATCCTCAATGGGATTTCTCTGCATCTTGTTAAAATGTTTATAGGTATCTGAATAAAGCTAGTGAGGGACTTCCTAAAAGAGCATGTAATTGATAGGTCAAGGGGTAATGGCTTTAAACCAACAGAGGGCAGGGTTAGATTAAATGTTAGGAACAAACTGTTTACTGCAAGGGTGGTGAGACCCTGGCACAGGTTGTCCAGAGAAGTGCTGGATGCCTCATCCCTGAAAGTGTTCAAAGCCAGGTTGGATGAGGAGTGTAGTCTAGTGGAAGGTGTCCCTGGCCATGGCAGTGGGGTTGGAACTAGGTAGTCTTTAAGGCCCATTCCAATCCAACCCATTCTATAACTTAAATGTAAATAGTGTTAAAGCAGTATATATCAGATATGATCTTTGGGGTGTGTGTGTGTGT